TGTGCTCTTTTGTTTTTTGGTGATTTTATTTGCAGCCCCAACGTCTTTCGATGGCGCTTGCTCCGTTGTTTATTTTTATTTTTTATATATATACTGGTTCTATGGCATCTTTGAATAGTAGTGCCTGTATTTCATCTTGTAGGGTTTGCAACAGAGGTTTGACAGTATGTGATGGCGGAGGGAGTTGATGGAACTGGATGCGGTACCCGCTTTGGATGATGGAGAGGACCCAAACATCCATGGTGATGGTTTCCTATATAGGTAAGCGTTTCCAGAGGGTAGGGGGAGGAATGTGGGGGTGCGTTGTTTGGATCTGGGCCGGCTGGACGTCAAATACGATGCTTGGGTTTGTGATCACTGCACCTGGTTGTGGCCTGTTGACGTCGTTTGGCCCAGTAAGGTTGTTGCTTGTAGTAAGATGTGTAAGAAATTTGCCTCTGAGGTTCTTGATGGAACTTCTGGAAGGAGTTGTAAGGGCACCGCCATTGAGTACACTGGGGACATTGCTGGTATGTAGGGTAGACTCCCCAACGTCTAGCAGCCATTCTTTTCTTTTGAATGTTTTCCAGAATGCCATGTTTCAGCATTGAAAAGACTTGCCCCGCCAAATTGGAGGTCTTCAATACGTGCTCTTGCATCTTCAGTGAGACCAGCAGTTCCTAGCCAGGAAAAACGTTGAAGGGCCACAGAGGTAGCGATGGATTTAGCTGTGGCATCGATAGTATGTCTGGCTGACAACATTTTTTGCTTGGCGACTGAAAGCCCTTCTTGCTGGAAGGTTTGAGCCAAAACTTTTTTTGTCTTCTGGAAGAGCTTCAATGAAGGTGGACATACTGTCCCAGAGGAACCGCTGTTAAGCACCCATGGCTCCTTGATAGTTGGTGACTCCCATGGTGAAGGCAGCAGAAGAATATAGCCATCTGCCCATGGAATCGATTCACCTGCTGTCCTTATTAGGCAGTATGAGAATTCGGCGATGTCGAGATTGAGAAGCCTCCACAAAGATAAGAGTTCAGGGCTGGTTGTTTCTGAATTAATTGTGCATAAGTTTGAAAGTGCTCCACTGGAGATGGAGGGTCAGCATCTGCTAAGTCAGACTCCAGTGATGTGAGTGTAGCGTTTGACCATCGTGCCCCCTTGCTTGACCGTCAAGACTCAAGAGGACTCAAAGGCAAACAATCCCCTCTTTTACACTGCTGCCACCAGATGATCACCAAATCACCATTATTCAGGAAGATGAAGATTCAGGTCCACACTTCAAAGTCTTTTCAATATAACTTTTGTTTATTGATTACAGAAATTGATAGTGATTCATTAATATCTTCTATAGGTAAATTTATTATTAACAACAATCTTCTATTTGATAATACACTCCTAACTAATCACCTCTCAGATTTCCCCAAACTCCACACTCTATCTCCTTCTCCCTCTCTCACGCTACTCATACTCTCTCTGACTGACTCTCTCTCAGGCTCCGCCTCTTATCACATCTCTCTCGGCTCCGCCTCTCAGCAACATGAATATGCATGAACAATTAACATAAAAACCATGAACCATTGACATAATAAAGGGGAACGCTACAGTGAGTAAAATAGATGGTGTTTGCAGTCTAGAGCCCTGTTCGGAATGTTCAACTTCGTGTTGAGAATCCGTGGACTGACAATCAACTTCGATATCGAGGGGCTGCGCCTCTAAGTATTGGTACCAACATCTGGATGTTGATGTCAAAGGCATGTCCATGGACATTGGTCAATGTCGAGGGTCATCCATCGGTATCGACATCGACGGGGGGACTCCCGTCCATGGGCAGTGGTCAATATTGAGCATCATCGATAATGGAGCCAGTATCTTGATGGTGGTGAAATGGAGTTTGCTGCCGAGATGGTATAAGTGTCAATGGACCACAGTAGAGTAGATACATGCGGGTGATGCCGAGCGGGATGATCGATCCTGACCCTCCTGACAGGCAGGAAAGTAACAGTCTGCCAGAGCTGCAAATGCAACCTGAGCAAAGGAGTATTGATCGGCTGTTCTGGGATATTTAGCTGCTGGCTGGTGGTAAGCTGTATGAATCTGAGGATCATGAAGACAAGATTGTTTTGACATTGAGGGCTGCCGTGAGGTCTCTGATGCGGCACTGCCATCGGACTGGGGAGAGCAACTGGTTGATAGTGCTTGGCAGGCTTAGCATGGGTCAATGCTGCACATGAAGATTTGGCACTGCCATATTAGCATGGCTGGTGCCTTTGATAACGCACTGGAGGCCTGTTGGGACGGAGTAGGGCATAGTATCAGGTTGTGTTTCGACTCCTTGCTTATTGGGAGAAGTAACCAAAGAGGGCTCGCTGGGAGAGCCAGATTGTTGAGGGCTAGCCAGGGAGGATATGAGCTGATCCACCCATTCCTCCCATTCTGGTGACTGTGATGGATAAGGTTGATAAGATGGAAGCACTTATTCATCCGAAGGTGAACCAATGCATATCAGATCCCCAGATCCTGGGAGCTGCGGGGAAGTAACCCTCGGGGATTTCACCTTTGAAGATTTAGATTTCTTTGGTGGCAAGAGTTTTTGGCATGGAATGTTTGGCTTTGTGCCCCTTAGTGGACGATATTGAAAGGGCATCGGAGCACAATGGCATGGCAGAAGGGTGTTGTTCCGTCGTCTTTGAAATGGCTTTATCCATGGCCTTAGCATGTGAGGTGGAATTAGAGGCAGGCTGAGCCACAGACTTTATAGGCTGGAGGGATTGTTCCCAAAGCTGAAGCCTAAGTCTAGAAAGACGACTGCGGAGAACTCTGCATTTGAAATTCTTACAATGAGGGCACAAAGAGGTTTGGTGGGCCTCACCAAGACAGAAAAGATATTTAGCATGGCCATCTGAAAGTGGCATTTTGTTGTCACAGACCAAGCAATGTTTAAACGGGCACATGGGGGCCATGAAAATAAGGAAAAAAGGAGGGGTGCTTTGGCCATAAGGCCGCAGCAACAAAGAAAAAAAACTTCTTTTTAAAAAGTAATAAAGGAATCAAGAACAAACTCTCTTTCAGTTTAGGAAAAACTCACAGAAGCGATTGATACAAGGCTATCAATGCAGCAGATGAATGAAATTGAAGGGAGTCTTGATGCCAAGGTACTTATACTAAGGGGGAGGGGTCTGCACTAATATGCGTTTTTGGTACCACAGAAGCATGTGCGGATTACCCAGGGTGTGATTCACAGAGGAAGAACATTATGTAGATCTGGTGATACAAGTGTTTTTAATTTCCTTCCCAACTGCTCAAATCCTTTATTCTTTATATTTTGAACCATCTATTTCAGAAAGTTATTTTTCTTACCTCAAACTGTCTATTTCACACTTTGGATCATAGGGTGGTAAGTTATTAGCAAGCACAATTCCTAGCAACTGAATTCCCACTGAGTTGTCTTTTGTGTCGGGATCACCACCAGAAAATCGTTCAAATATTATCCTGAAGTCAAAAAATACGGAGGACATCAAACAAAGTAACTCACAAAGGAACATATTTTGAGAAACTTTAAGTAACCAAGGTCATAACTGCTATTCAGAGAATGTAAACATAGTTTTAGAAATCTTAGCTTACCTTAGACACCCACTTCAGTTCCCACTTCATTCTCTTAGTAAAATAGATGGTGTTTGCAGTCTAGAGCCCTGTTCGGAATGTTCAACTTCGTGTTGAGAATCCGTGGACTGACAATCAACTTCGATATCGAGGGGCTGCGCCTCTAAGTATTGGTACCAACATCTGGATGTTGATGTCAAAGGCATGTCCATGGACATTGGTCAATGTCGAGGGTCATCCATCGGTATCGACATCGACGGGGGGACTCCCGTCCATGGGCAGTGGTCAATATTGAGCATCATCGATAATGGAGCCAGTATCTTGATGGTGGTGAAATGGAGTTTGCTGCCGAGATGGTATAAGTGTCAATGGACCACAGTAGAGTAGATACATGCGGGTGATGCCGAGCGGGATGATCGATCCTGACCCTCCTGACAGGCAGGAAAGTAACAGTCTGCCAGAGCTGCAAATGCAACCTGAGCAAAGGAGTATTGATCGGCTGTTCTGGGATATTTAGCTGCTGGCTGGTGGTAAGCTGTATGAATCTGAGGATCATGAAGACAAGATTGTTTTGACATTGAGGGCTGCCGTGAGGTCTCTGATGCGGCACTGCCATCGGACTGGGGAGAGCAACTGGTTGATAGTGCTTGGCAAAGTAACAATTAAAACTTCATTTCAGGAGCATGGCATCTTTGTTTATCAAACAATAACAACAAACTAAAGGTAAAGGTAAAGGTTCCCGCATGGGTCAATGCTGCACATGAAGATTTGGCACTGCCATATTAGCATGGCTGGTGCCTTTGATAACGCACTGGAGGCCTGTTGGGACGGAGTAGGGCATAGTATCAGGTTGTGTTTCGACTCCTTGCTTATTGGGAGAAGTAACCAAAGAGGGCTCGCTGGGAGAGCCAGATTGTTGAGGGCTAGCCAGGGAGGATATGAGCTGATCCACCCATTCCTCCCATTCTGGTGACTGTGATGGATAAGGTTGATAAGATGGAAGCACTTATTCATCCGAAGGTGAACCAATGCATATCAGATCCCCAGATCCTGGGAGCTGCGGGGAAGTAACCCTCGGGGATTTCACCTTTGAAGATTTAGATTTCTTTGGTGGCAAGAGTTTTTGGCATGGAATGTTTGGCTTTGTGCCCCTTAGTGGACGATATTGAAAGGGCATCGGAGCACAATGGCATGGCAGAAGGGTGTTGTTCCGTCGTCTTTGAAATGGCTTTATCCATGGCCTTAGCATGTGAGGTGGAATTAGAGGCAGGCTGAGCCACAGACTTTATAGGCTGGAGGGATTGTTCCCAAAGCTGAAGCCTAAGTCTAGAAAGACGACTGCGGAGAACTCTGCATTTGAAATTCTTACAATGAGGGCACAAAGAGGTTTGGTGGGCCTCACCAAGACAGAAAAGATATTTAGCATGGCCATCTGAAAGTGGCATTTTGTTGTCACAGACCAAGCAATGTTTAAACGGGCACATGGGGGCCATGAAAATAAGGAAAAAAGGAGGGGTGCTTTGGCCATAAGGCCGCAGCAACAAAGAAAAAAAACTTCTTTTTAAAAAGTAATAAAGGAATCAAGAACAAACTCTCTTTCAGTTTAGGAAAAACTCACAGAAGCGATTGATACAAGTCTAGAAAAGATAAAGCGTTCTCAGGATAGGATTATATTGTCTGTTAAATAAAGGGCATCAACAAATGTCATTTTGTGTATGTGTGTGTGTGTGTACACACGACTGAAATACCACAGATTAGGATGTCCACTGCAGACACACATCATATAACAGTGTATATTATGTAATATAAAATGATATGATATGCAGGCTTCCTCGCTTCTTAAAAATATTAAGATAAAGCTCAAAATCCCAGTTCTGCAATAGATTCATAAACCTGTCTGCTCCTTTGCTTAATTTATGTGAAAAGCCACATCTAATGTTGGGAAAAATCAATGCAGCAGATGAATGAAATTGAAGGGAGTCTTGATGCCAAGGTACTTATACTAAGGGGGAGGGGTCTGCACTAATATGCGTTTTTGGTACCACAGAAGCATGTGCGGATTACCCAGGGTGTGATTCACAGAGGAAGAACATTATGTAGATCTGGTGATACAAGTGTTTTTAATTTCCTTCCCAACTGCTCAAATCCTTTATTCTTTATATTTTGAACCATCTATTTCAGAAAGTTATTTTTCTTACCTCAAACTGTCTATTTCACACTTTGGATCATAGGGTGGTAAGTTATTAGCAAGCACAATTCCTAGCAACTGAATTCCCACTGAGTTGTCTTTTGTGTCGGGATCACCACCAGAAAATCGTTCAAATATTATCCTGAAGTCAAAAAATACGGAGGACATCAAACAAAGTAACTCACAAAGGAACATATTTTGAGAAACTTTAAGTAACCAAGGTCATAACTGCTATTCAGAGAATGTAAACATAGTTTTAGAAATCTTAGCTTACCTTAGACACCCACTTCTGTTCCCACTTCATTCTCTTACCAGATTCTCTGGTCTTCTGGGGCACAGAAACTTAGTTTACATTCTAGGTAAAGTTAAAGTCTGAGTTTCACTTGTATATATCTACATACAATTCTCACGTTAGTAGAAAAAAGCAAAATTAAAAGTATGCAGTTGCTCAGGAAGCTGTTAGATAAGTGCAGTCTGTGGCAAACTTGCAATAATCCACCTATCACCAGATGTTACCACTCTCTTCGGAAAAAAGAAGTTTCCAAACTATTTGGATGCAGGGTACAAGTTCCTTAGCTGTATCCTTGAAGGTATTTGCATTAAAATTACTCACCTGTAAGGTATACCAAGACAGTCTTTCCAGCATTCTACTACTGTCTTAATAATTTCTAGGTTATGTCTGAACACTGCTCTTTTTGGGTGAAATGCATTCTTCATCAAGAATTCCAGCAACCTGTTAGCTAGGACTTCTTCCTTGACATTTCCCTGGTAAGAAGGAATTATGAAGTACATGGTTGTTACATACAAGAACTTGTACATACATCTATACCAGAAAATCGTTCAAATATTATCCTGAAGTAAAAAATATGGAGGACATCAAACATAGTAACTCACAAAGGAACATATTTTGAGAAACTTTAAGTAACCAAGGTCATACTTGCTATTCAGAGAATGTAAACATAGTTTTAGAAATCTTAGCTTACCTTAGACACCCACTTCTGTTCCCACTTCATTCTCTTACCAGATTCTCTGGTCTTCTGGGGCACAGAAACTTAGTTTACATTCTAGGTAAAGTTAAAGTCTGAGTTTCACTTGTATATATCTACATACAATTCTCACGTTAGTAGAAAAAAGCAAAATTAAAAGTATGCAGTTGCTCAGGAAGCTGTTAGATAAGTGGCAAACTTGCAATAATTCACCTATCACCAGATGTTACCACTCTCATTGAAAAAAAGAAGTTTCCAAACTATTTGGATGCAGGGTACAAGTTCCTTAGCTGTATCCTTGAAGGTATTTGCATTAAAATTACTCACCTGTAAGGTATACCAAGACAGTCTTTCCAGCATTCTACTACTGTCTTAATAATTTCTAGGTTATGTCTGAACACTGCTCTTTTCGGGTGAAATGCATTCTTCATCAAGAATTCCAGCAACCTGTTAGCTAGGACTTCTTCCTTGACATTTCCCTGGTAAGAAGGAATTATGAAGTACATGGTTGTTACATACAAGAACTTGTACATACATCTATACAAATGTATTCTCGAAACATACTTGCCATGTTACTATCAAGTGGTAGAAATGGGGGTACAGTGGTGCCTCGCATAGCGATCGCTCCGTTTTACAACGAAATCGCTTTGCGATGGACTTTTTGCCATTGCAAGAGTGATGGCCCCTATGGGGAAAATTGGCTTTGCGATGATCGCTTCCCCGCAATCATCGCAAAACCCCCATTTTCGCACAGCTGATTGGCGGTTTCAAAATGGCCCTGTGGGCTTTGGGTTGATCGTGGGGAAGCGCTTTCCCGCGAGCAGCCCAAGGCCCTGCCGATCAGGAGGGGGGAGCGGGGGTGCTCCAGATTGGTGCCTCGGGAGTAGGGAGGGAAGGAGGGGCGAAGGGCCTGGTGCGCCAAGCCAGAGAGCCCTCACAGCGGGAGGCGCTGCAAAGGAGGAGGCGCCCGCCCGGGACCGGCATCAGGGCGGCAGTGGCTGGACGGGGG